CAACGGCCCACTTGGGTTGGTGTCGCCCGTGATGCTGGAGGGAAAACTGATCTACAGAGAAATTTGCAGCCAAAAACTCGCTTGGGATGCTCCGTAGCCAGACGTTTACGCAAGTCGATGGAAAAATTGGGCACACAAACTGCCAACAGTGTTACTCTGCTGTGCAGTTTGGCAACATATCAAGAACCGACCAAAAAAATAAAGTTACACGCCTTCGGGGATGTCAGTGGACATGGTGTGAGTGCTGCGATTTATGCTGTTGTTACGCAAGAATCTGGCTAAACACAAGGTCTGGTTGCTGCTAAGTCTTGTCTTGCCAAACAAGGGCTGACTGTTCCCTTTCTCGAACTGACATCGGGACACATGGCTGTCAATCTGGTGACAAACGTACACAAAGCATTGGAGGGGTTTCCGCTCGCAACCGACATCCAGTGCTGGTTGGATAGCACAGTTGCATTACACTGGTTGCGTGACCAGGGTGAATATCGTCAGTTCGTCACAAATCGCGTGCGAAAGATTCAAAGTCATCCAGACACTCAATGGCGTCACGTACCTTCTACCGAGAATCCTGCAGACCTCGGTAGCCGCGGTGGGAGTGTGACAGATGTACAGCTGTAGTGGAGAGGCCAAGAGTGGTTAGCAGACCTAACAAGCTGGCCAGAAGATATCGTGACGCAAGCTAACCAACAAAGTGATGCAGAAAGGAAAGTTCAACGAGATCTTCGCGGCCGCAATCAAAATCAGTGATGACCTTGATCGTGTCCTAGAAAGTTTGACCTGCACAAAGCTCTCAGAGTTTGCGTGTGGGTCTCACGTTTCATTCGCAACTGCCAGCGCCCTTCGGAGAAGATCCAAGGCCCCCTGTTCACATAGGAAATCACCACATGCAGACTCTTCTGGGTTAAACGAGTGCAATAACGAGGGATCAGTGACGACCACTTCCAAGAAGACAAGTTACAGCTAAACCTACAGAGAAACGCCGATGGGGTGTTGGAATGCCGGGGACGCATTCAGGGAGAATACCCCATTTTCGTGCCGGATTCTGCCCTTTACACCATCAGAGTAGTTCAGCGCGCCCATGTAACCACTTTGCACGGGGGAGTGGGACTTACAATGGCGAAGGTTCGTGAAGTCCAGTGGGTACTTCGCCTTTGCAAACTCACCAAACGAGTTCTTAGGAACTGTTGGGCCTGTAAAAGGTTTCAAGCCGTGGCTGCTCCTCACCCACCAGCCAGACCCCTGCTAAGGGACAGAACTGAAGGAGACAATCCCTTCAGCGTCATTGGAGTAGACATCACCGGACCTGTAAAGTATCTGCAGCGGAAATCATAGAAGGAACAGAAGGCGTACATCGTGATATATTCTTGCAGCTTGACCCGTGCAGTATTCTTGGAATTGCTACCAAGCTTGGAAACGGGAGAATTCATCAATAGCCTCAAACGCCTGACAGCGAGAAGAGGGAGGCCGACAAAGATTTACTCGGACAACGGGAGAACATTCATCGCCACAGCTAACTGGTTGAAAAAAGTACGCAAAGATGAAAGGCTTAACACCTTTCTCGGCGCTCACGAAATAACCTGGCAGTTTAATTTGAGCCGCGCCCCTTGGTGGGGCGGACAGTTTGAACGATTCATTGGAGTAATGAAAGGTGCCTTCTACAAGACAGTGGAACAAGGTCAACTATCTTGGGACGTGCTCAGTGAGGTGGTCCTGGACGTTTAGATAGTACTGAACAACCGCCCCCTCAGTTACGCAGAAGATGAGATACAGCTACCCACGCTGACGCCGAACGCCTGGTTGTTCATCAACTCCAACATTTAGCCAGAACTGCAGTCGTATCATCTGAAAGAAAAGGACCTCAGGAAACGGGCAAGATTCCTTCAAAGGAGTAAAGATGCGATTTGGCGCCGTTGGTCCGCTGAATATCTACGAGCACTACGAGAAAGACACCGCCTGAAGTATGGTAATTGAAAGAATCCTTTGTCAGTAGGGGATTTGGTGATATTGAAGTCAGAAGAAAGAAACCAAAACTGCTGGCCACTTGGGATCATAGAAAAGCTAATTGTGGGGTGTGATGGCGTAGTTCGTGCAGCCAAGGTTCGAGCTCAGAAGACCGTCCTGGAGAGAGCCATACAACATTTGTACCCCCTGGAATTGTCGTGCGATAGATCAAATGACGCAACGCCTCTCAACCCTACCGCGCCCCCGTTCAGGCCCAGACGGGATGCAGCAGCCGCAGCAGAGTTACGTATCCAAGACATTCCTAATGATGACCAGTGAACATTGAATTTGAGACACTCGTATAAACTGGACTTTGAACCGAACATTTCATTTGTTGCGTTACTCGATCAATGTCGTTTAGTTTTTTGTACTTTTCGTTAAAACTCGGTTTCCTCAGATATTAAATATGTCTCGTAAACGAGCCATATGGGGGGAGTGGGTTTCGGAAACTGTTAAGTCGTGATTGTCATCTAATTACCTTTCTGTCACTTTGTTCACAATGTAGAGTTTTATAACGGACATTTGATCTTTGAAATTTGATCTTATTATGCAATCGTTATTAGTACACGTTTTTTACTTCGATACTAGCTTTTTTTTCAGAACAACCACGGGACAAGTGTGTATCTTTGAGTACAGTGAAATAAACGGGATTTTGACTATGATTACTGAGTGTTGGAAGTTACCACACGGAGGCAATTTTCGACACTTTGTTTAGGAGGTCTTGGCTGATGGATGGATAGAACTCTTCGATGTCGAAACAGATGAAGCTGGAGTGTTGTTTGTTTTTGATAGATGTGAACCAGTTGATTACGGCTGCGGTGTTTTTCCATTGGTTGAAGTTGCGTTTTTTCGCGATCGTGCTGTTGATGCGGTCGAGGATCTTTTTGCTGACTTTGCCTCCCGAACCTCGTGGGGTTGTTGAGTCTGCACATCGGACTCACAGAGAACAACTTCAAAACAAGATACAGAAACCACACCTCATCATTCCGCCACGCTAAGGACAGAAACTCCACTGAACTCAGCAAGCACATCTGGACCCTCAAAGACAACAACATTGAACACTATTTCCTGACACATTCTCTCATCATACTCGCCGTACAGCAGCTCAAGTAAAAGGTGTAATCTCTGCCTCAAAGAAAAATTCCTAATCATCTGCCGACCTGAACTATCAACATTAAACAAACGTAATGAGCTCGTGTCTTCCTGCCGCCACAGAAACAAAGCCCTCCTACGCAAGAAATAAACCGTTAAATTTCGCGCTGCATAAATTAGATTATATTGTATGTAAGCGATGGTAAAGATTGTTCTCATTAAATCCCCTGATGAGTGGGCAACCACGAAACAGACCTGTAGACCATGAACTTGTAGTTTATGTGTTTTTCCTCCCACAATATACACATCGCTCTACTCCTATGTATTGAGCACTGTATTACGAAAGTCAAAATTTTACAGTTTATATGTATATATATATATATATATATATATATATATATATATATATATATATATATATATGCACACACACACACACACATAGATATGAAGAAACGAATATAGAATCAATCCTCGCAGTTATTACGAATTTTTTTTTCAGGCCTTATTTCAACTACTAGTTCAGTAGGGTTCACAACTGCGAGGATCGATTCAATATTCGTTTCTTCAACCGCAGTGCACACATATGATTTTCACATGTTTACAGCCGTAACAAATTACTTTGTTATCATGCTAGGTAGATACTGGTCTCAATCGCAACCTGATAAACTTTAGTCTCCCTCCAAATCAAAGGCTTGACAACTTAGTATACAACTATACAATGGCCTATTCGACCGCATGTTTAGACAACGATACAGCGGATTAGTATCAGTCTTGGTGAAAAGTCTCTAACATTATGGATCAATACGGGTGTAACAAACCAATCTCGATTTGTCAATTATGCAATTTAACTGAATAAGAAATTTATGTTTTAACAAGGCCTACATTGATAACAGTTCCATAACTGAAACGTTTTATCGGCCTTAATATTTCAACTGTTATTATTGTTATTGTTATCATTATTGTGACAAATTTTCTTGTAGCCTAATTTGTTTGTCCTCTTCAAATGTAGCTGCTAGATCACATGATGAAGCAAGTGAAATTAATCTAATGAAGTCTGCCACATCATTGAAGGTGACTCTCCTGGGCAGTGGGTGGAGTTCGTCAATAGCGGGCTTGTCCACCATCAACAGACAGCTTGCCATTCTGTTGGCCAAACACTCTGAAGTGGACGTTACTCTCCTAGTCCCACAGTTTGCCTGCTCTGAAGAAGAGAAGAGGATGGCATCAAGTCACAATGTTTCCATCCAGGAGGCCAAGAAACTTGCAGGCTTCAGAAATCCTCTTGAATGGTTGAGTTTCCCACCAAGAGACCTTGTCATTGACTTTGTGCTGGGTCATGGTGCAAAGCTTGGTAAGCAAGCCCAAGTTATCAGAAAGTCTCACAGTTGCAAATGGATTCAGGTGGTGCACACTGCACCCGAAGAACTAGCAATGTACAAAAACTATCCCGAGGCCATTTCCAAAGGAGAAGATGAGAATACAACTGAAGTGGAGTTGTGTAAGTTGGCAGATGCTGTGATGGCAGTTGGACCAAAGTTGGCGACGGCTTACTCTTGCTACCTGCGCCCATGGGGGAAGCAGCAAGGTATAATTCAACTGACGCCAAGCACGTTCAGTGAGTTTTCCGACGTAAAACAAGCTGCAATTGATACGGTCAAGTTTAAGGTTCTAACGTTTGGCCGTGGTGACCCAGAGGATTTCAGCTTGGAGGGCTATGATATTTCTGCTAAAGCAATAGTTGAACTGAGAGACAACTCTTACCATCTGATTGTCGTAGGTGCACCTGACGGTAAACAGGATGAGGTTGCATATAATTTACTCAAATGTGGAATTGGTAGAAAGCAGCTGACCGTGAGAAGGTCCATGCGAAGGATAGAGGAATTGAAAATGTTATTCTGTCAAGCTGATCTCTGCATCATGCCCTCCAGAACAGAGGGTTTTGGTTTGACAGCGTTAGAAGCGTTGTCTGCTGGTCTTCCCATTCTTGTCAGTGGAAACTCAGGATTTGGTGAAGCACTGTGCGCTGTACCATCAGGCAAATCATTCGTGGTGGAGTCTGAGGACCCTGGGGAGTGGGCAAAGGCAATTGCTAGTGTCCGACAGAAGGAAAGATCAGATCGCCTTGAAGATATTCGACAAGTGAGAAGTTTATATGAAGAGAAGTATAGCTGGGAGAAGCAATGTGACAGTCTTGTGGAGAAAATGTGGGACATATTTCACGGTGAGAATGTTTCGAATATTCTTCAAAAAGTGTTTTAGGGGGCTACTCGGCTTTCGGTCTCTTATTAATTGTGACGGAGAGCATGAACATGGACTGATAGAAAAATGGTGTTAAACATGAATAGTAATCAGTCGTTTTATCCTCATGTTGTTTACTGTGTTATTAAAACAAAAGCTTCTTTCTATCTTTTTAGCTTCTGAAAGACGAGACACAAGTTTCAGCGTTCGGCATGTCGAAGTTATTGGCACGTCAACCGAACAACTAAGAGTTGATTCATTACTGAGTCCAAGTGAGTAAAAGAAGCTAATAACACATGATAATTGAGAGCCTCAAAGAAGTACAGACGGGTTACAAGGAGATCCAGCAATTTTCTTTTGACTTCAGGCCAGTTATGTTTCATAAAAACCTAATAAGGTACTTTTTACTTATGAGACATGTTTTTATTTATACCCCTGCACACTTCAGTCGCAAACGTAAGACGTGTAGAAGAAATTTGATTGTCTTATACTTTCTGATCTGGACGGACGGCTTAGTGTTATTCATTTCTTTGGGTCATTTGAAGTTTTCATCCCATTGCAATTGGAAACTACCATAAATTGTCTGAAACAGGGAGACATGGGCATTTCTTCTGCTTTTTCTCAAAACAAAACCAAAGTTTAAATACTGTTCCTATCAAAACCAGTTTATGTTCTATTCACGATACAGTTGTCTTTCGAAACAATATTGAAGTAATCACATATTCATACGGTAGAGGAAATACATCAGTATATTTTTGAAGTCCGTGTTTTTTTTTCAGGATTCTTTTTTCCACTTACACAGATATGTCCGAGTGTAGACCTCGTCGTTAATTGTTCTTCTCTGCTTGTTGTCTCTTAATCATTAGTGTATTCACTCTCGAGCAGAAATCGAACTTAAAAAGTAACTTAATTTACAGCTAGAGCTTCCCCTTTTTCCTTTTTACCCTAAAAGTTTCTCCTACTAGACTGGAAATTGTTAATTTTTAGCAGACGATTGTTTCCCTTTTTACATTCAGTTAGACTAATAAAAACCTTGTCTTTTGTAGGTTCTCTTGACCGAATCATCCAGGAACTTCAGCGGATGCAACTCGATGCAAGAAAAGTCAAAAACAGAATAGATCTATTATTGGGGCTGAGGAATATTGCATCAGACAGAGGCTTCAGAATATCTGACAATCCAGGATTAGGAAATTGCATGTTCGATGCCTTGTCTGAACAACTGGAAATTGTTCAGGGAATCAAAATCCCACATGGTGAATTAAGACAAAGCTTGGTTCAGTACCTCAAGGGAAACCGAAAACTTGTAAGTTGCTGTTTGTATGTCTAACAGAGTATGGCACGTGATGTTATTAAAAGAGTATGATAAACGTATAGAGATAATACAGGCCACTTGGCCAATACTACCAGAACCTATCCAAGTGTTCACAGCGTGAAGTGATTAGGGGTACTGTTACTCTTCCTGTATAGAACGACGGTCTTTTTCCAGGAGCTCTGATACCAGCTTGTACCCCTGGTGGAAAGGGGAACTTGAAAGATTTAACTTTATTATTTAAGAAGCCACACAGTGACGTTGGCTGCATTACAATTCATATGTAACTTAATGTAGGGTCCGAAGAAGCAGGCCACCACAGTTTTAGTCATTTGGATATTATTTTTTAGTTTTTAAAAAAGTTCGCTTTAAACCTCTATCAGATGACAGAATTCTGGTCGTTTTCTTAATGATGGATCTTTCTTGTTGTTTTCCTGCTGTTTGCAAAGTATTTTGGAATATACACGGCTGTTTTGATAGACATTTCAATGCCAAAATTGTTACTATGCAGTAAATTGCTCATTAAAGGTCGTCTCGCACCATTCTGACAAAATTACTCCCTGACTCTTACTCTACGCGCTCAAGTTTCTATCAACAGTTTTCTATTAACTGATTCATCTTACAGCCGGATGGAACGGATCTGTTTCATTTTGTCCATGGACATCAAACATGGACTGAATACCTTGTACACATGGAACAAGATGGCGCTTCGGGCGATCACGTGATTCTGTGGGCCGCAGCAAGCTACTTTAAAACGTGCATTCGTGTGGTCAGCAGTCTATCCCATAGCAATGATGTAATCATAACGCCACACTGTCCAGTTGACGAAAACAAACCTCTTGTGCTGGGAAATATTC